CCATGCCTGCGCCCCCCTACCTACCCCGCACACAAAACCCCACCCTCCTCCTCCCCACGCCCAGCATCATCACAGACGCACATCACGCCCACAACCCCCACACGCCCACCAAACCCCCGCCCGCTTCCTGGAGCTCCCGGCAAAAGTTGGCGTTGAGGGCTGGCTTAATTGAATCTAACGAGTGACTGTTACAGTGAAAGGGAGAGAGAGCTGGGATGAAAGGCCCGCCAGAGATGGACAACCTGGGGGACAGAATACAAAAAGAGTAGCAAGTTGTGTCCTGTACACAGAGGGAGTGTACCTTGTTGAGTTTACCTGCGCACACACATGTATACGACCTGTCCAATATTCACTTGGGCAGGTTGGTAGAGCCACGCCCTAAGCTTCGTACAGGGTCGGAGTTCGATCCCCAAGGGTCCAAATGGCTGGCCAACACTCCTTCACTCCGCCACAGTTTTCTCATAAATACTTACACATCTCACAAGCCTTACAGAATGTCACTTACTTCTATACACGATGTGTATAGTATATATATATATATATATATATATATATATATATATATATATATATATATATATATATATATATATATATATATATATATATATTCAAGAGTTTTTACATTCTTGCACATTCGTTCTTAAATCTTATCAGAGAGTGCCAAAGAGTTCCAGAGTGCCAGAGAGTTCCTGAGTGCCAAAGAGTTCCAGAGTGCCAGAGAGTGCCTGAGTGCCATATTGCTTTATTTATGCGAACTGTTTAGGACGGGAATGAACACGCATGTTCAGAACATTTTGATATCTTTTAAAAATGTTCTCAGTTTGGATAACATTTGTATATTTACTCCTAAATGTCATGTATTTTCTAAGTTAAATTTGGGAGTGTATATATGCAATGTGTGTGTGTGTGTGTGTGTGTGTGTGTGTGTGTGTGTGTGTGTGTGTGTGTGTGTGCTCACCTAGTTGTACTCACCTAGTTGTGTTTGCGGGGGTTGAGCTCTGGCTCTTTGGTCCCGCCTCTCAACCGTCAATCAACAGGTGTACAGATTCCTGAGCCTATTCCTGTGTGTGTGTGTGTGTGTTTTCCTTAGCACCTGAACTGAACATTTAACAAAGTTATCCTGCCGTAAAACATCTATTTCAACACAGACTGGTGTGAGGCTTTAGGCTTTTCAAGTTAGTCTTCTCTGAAGCTGTTTTAGCTTTTACTTTTCATGTCATTTTTGCTACCAGACGCAACTACAGGCTAATGTTACAAGATACAGTTACCAGATACACCGCTTTTGCAGAATACACTTAAAGAATACAGCTATGGGGGTACAGCTACAGACTAAAGCTACATGCCACTGAAGCAGGCTATAGCTTCAGCTACAAACTATAGCTACAGGTCAAATCTACAGGCTGTCACAACTGCAGGCAGATTGTTCAAGCTACAGTTACAGGCTACAGGTATGTGGATTGTGCAGGCAAGCCCATTACTGTCACTGTACCGCACCTGCTCACGAAAGCTTGAAATACAAGGAATTTGGATAGAAAATGATTCATTTACAATTTGTGGTTTATATTTCATGTTTAGAACTGTTTGCAAGCAAATAATTAATTCGCCTTCTTGCAACTTGACACCACGACTACCGCACTACCACCAGCACCACACTACCACACCACCACACTACCACACCTCCAGCACCACTCAACCACACTACCACACCACCAGCACCACACCACCACACTACCACACCACCAGCACCACACTACCACACCACCAGCACCACCACACCACCACACCACCAGCACCACACTACCATACCACCACACTACCACACCACCAGACTACCACACCTCCAGCACCACTCAACCACACTACCACACCACCACACTACCACACCACACTACCAGCACCACCAGCACCACACTACCACCACCACCACACTACCACACCTCCAGCAACACTCAACCACACTACCACACCACCAGCACCACACCACCACACTACCACACCTCCAGCACCACACTACCACACCACCAGCACCACCACACCACCACACCACCAGCACCACACTACCATACCACCACACTACCACACCACCAGACTACCACACCACCACACCACCACACTACCACACCAGGGGAGAAGACATACCACTATGCCCTGTCCCTCACGTCCTTCATCAGGAGAGGATGGTGGCAGACGGAGCCCCCGTCAGTGACAGGCAGACAGGGGCTCTACGTGAGCCGCCTACAACGGCTTCCACCACGGAGGGAGAGAGTAATCATCTTGAGGTTATCTTGGGAGGTGATTTCGGGGCTTAGCGTCCCCGCGGCCCGGTCCTTGACCAGGTCTCCTTTTTGTTACACATCCCCCAGAAAGCAGCCCGTAGCAGCTGTCTAACTCCCAGGTACCTATTTATTACTAGGGATGCCTGTCTGCAGAGCTGCTGGTGTAGGTAAGCAGACACAAGCAGACACACGCGGACGGTAGAACGACGGTCTCGCTTCATGCGGGTCGGCGTTCAATCCCCGACCGTCCATAAGTTGTTGGGCACCATTCCTTTCCCCCCGTCCCATCCCTAATCCTTATCCTGACCCCTTCCATGTGCTATATAGTCGTAATGGCTTGTGACGTCACTATGACGTCACTATGACGTGATAATATCCATTCCAGTGCAGGTTTTAGACCCTACTCATGCGCTTCAAGTGGCCATTAAGACTTATAAACAAGGCCTGAGGGGGGCACAACTCAGCCATTAGAGAACACTAACCACAGTGCCCTGATGCCTGGGCAGTATTACCCCCTGTGCCCTTCTTTGTGGGGACATGATGCTCATATCGGTCCACCTGATCGGATCCCCCCCCCCCCCCCACCCCACAAAGGCCGGCCAGGCAGGATTGAAGCTTCTATCGCATCTTGTCATCGGGGGGTTGGCGGGGCTTTGGGGTCTTGATGTCAGATCATCCAACACTATTCAATTTCATGCGCCCACGCCCTCGCCTACGCCCACACAGGCGTGGGCGTGATGTGGGCGGCGGCAAGAGGCCCTGTGTCTTCTTGCCTGGCAGGTGGGCGTGTGTGTGTGTGTTGGGGGTAGTTGGTTGTACACCTGTTCTCAATGTGTGATCGTGTGCAGGGGTCGTTGGTCTCACGTACGTGGGCAGCGATCTCAATGCCTCGTTATTTAGGTTCCTGAATGATGGTCTGAATTTTGGCAATATAGAGTATGCTGTTGGGGTTGTTGACCAGACCACACACTAGAAGGTGAAGGGACGACGACGTTTCGGTCCGTCCTGGACCATTCTCAAGTCGATTGTGAGAATGGTCCAGGACGGACCGAAACGTCGTCGTCCCTTCACCTTCTAGTGTGTGGTCTGGTCAACTTACTTCAGCCACGTTATTGTGACTCATCGCCTGCTGGCGTTTTTCTATTTGCAGGTTATCTTGAGGTTATCTTGAGATGATTTCGGGGCTTTTTAGTGTCCCCGCGGCCCGGTCCTCGACCAGGCCTCCACCCCCAGGAAGCAGCCCGTGACAGCTGACTAACACCCAGGTACCTATTTTACTGCTAGGTAACAGGGGCATAGGGTGAAAGAAACTCTGCCCATTGTTTCTCGCCGGCGCCTGGGATCGAACCCAGGACCACAGGATCACAAGTCCAGCGTGCTGTCCGCTCGGCCGACCGACTCTCTTCATGAGCCTGTGGAGTTAAGGATTGATAATTATCCAAAGAAGACACTAAGTCTATGATTGGTGTTATCCCGCCAAACACACACCGAAACTACGACGTTGGTACAACGTTCGAACAAGTTTTAACACCTCCTAGCCAGTTATAACAACCAATATAGCAAGTTGTAACAACGTTCTAATACGTCATAAACACGTTAAGCCAAGATGTAACAACTTTATTACAAGTTGTAACAAGCGGAAAATAGAGACAGTTTCGGTTTGTGTTTCCAAAGTCTATGTCTATGTCTATGTAAGATGTAACAACAAGATGTTAACAACTTTATTACAAGTTGTAACAAGCTGAAAATAGAGACAGTTTCGGTCATAGAAGTCTATGTCTATGTCTATGTAAGATGTAACAACAAGATGTAACAACTTTATTACAAGTTGTAACAAGCTGAAAATAGAGACAGTTTCGGTTTGTGTTTCCAAAGTCTATGTCTAATTCTATGTCTCTCCCAAGGTGGTTCTGGCTAGTTGTTACAAGGTCGTTTGCCCATCAGTTACTGTCTCTTGTTCCCATCACCTTATTCTTGCTAAGTTGAGCTCAGGTAGACATTTCTTGGACTCGTCAGTTTAAGTCATCTTGAGGAGTCTTACAGTCCTCATCTGTCTGTCACAACTCTTCTGTGTGTGTGTGTGTGTGTGTGTGTGTGTGTGTGTGTGTGTGTGTGTGTGTGTGTGTGTGTGTGTGTGTGTGTGTGTGTGTGTGTGTGTGTGTGTACTCACCTAGTTGTACTCACCTCGTTGTGCTTACTGGGGTTGAGCTTCGGCTCTTTGGTCCCGCTCTCAACTGTCAATCAACTAATGTACAGATTCCTGAGCCTACTGGGCTGAGGAATGTGTGTGTGTGCGTGTGTATGTGTGTGTATGAGTTACTCCACCTGCTATTACTGTTGCATTTACAATGACTTTTTCCGTTTAAAATTACACGACAGACCACTCTGCATCTTGTATACTCTTAATTCTCTGTGTATTTCTATTACACTGTAAAAAATAATTAATTTCGAGAAACCGATATTTTCACAGGAAATATATACACGTTGTCCTCATAATATCGCACTTTTGGTTCTAAGGATTCCATTAGGGTGTGCAGCAGCATTCCCATGGTGAGGTTCTATGCCCCACTGAGTTTCCTTTAAAAGATAGCTCTATTGGGTCCTTAGGATTGACAAAGATGAGATCGTGCGATACTCAAGCTTTTCCTGAAGGATCCTGGCCACCACATTTTGCCGGCGTCAGTTGAAGAGCCGGGCTTGTTTGTAAACAAAGCCTTAATCCCTACCCCCAAAGGCTGAACCACTGTGGGAACAGAGCCGCGGAGGTTCCAGAGGACCTACAGGTCCCAGTGGTCGCAAGGGAAATGGAGTCCCAGTTGTTCTAAGGGTCCCAGAGGGTTTATGGGGGTCCCAGAGGGTTTCTGTGGGTCACAGGGTTTCTGGGGGTCCCAGAGGGTTTCTGGGGGTCCCAGAGGGTTTCTGGGGGTCCCAGAGGGTTTCTGTGGGTCCCAGAGGGTTTCTGGGGGTCCCAGAGGGTTTCTGAGGGTCCCAGAGGGTTTCTGGGGGTCCCAGAGGGTTTCTGGCGGTCCCAGAGGGTTTCTGGCGGTCCTAGAAGTCCCAAGACTCCCAAGGGTCTCAGGTCTCTCAGATAGAGACCTCAGAAGTCTTTCCCAAGAGCCAGAGAAGTCTCAAGGGTCCCCTGAAGTCCCAACTGGGGCCGGCTGATGTCTCCAGCACCTCATCCGTTCCTACCTGATTGGGACCGTATGTCTGTACCAAGAAAATAATAGGTACTAGGTATGTGTGAGACACAGTGTACGTATGAGGCACAGTGTACGTATGAGGTAGTGTGTACGTATGAGGTACTGCGTACATGAGAGGTACAGTATAAGTGTAGTTTTAATATGGTGCATCTTAAGAATGCGGGATATATTTCCTTACATCTCTAAGATCCTCGGTAGGGACAAAGGTACCTGGCCGGTACCATTACCGTAATCCTCTGGTCCGCTACCTGTGTAGGGCCGCTATATACCGCCACTCTGGTCTCCATCGCCCGCTCCTACTCCACCACCCACTAACCTAACCACCACTAACCACTAAACCATCCCGAACTGCCACTGTCCACCGCTAATACCCGTCTCTGTTCCTCCTGTCAACACCGGCCATACTGTCCCAGCATGTGCTCGTGTTCTCGCTGTCTCCGTGGCCATAGGCACTGTCCCTCACGGTGGCTCCGTGGCCACAGGCACGGCCGAAAGGCGTGACAATTTCTCTAATATTCCTCGTGCAGATATATATGCAGATAATCTACCGTGCAGATTTATCTTATACACTGTGAGGGGTCGACCAGTTATGTCCCTTATGTGTAGTGGAAGCGTGTTTAACAGTCTCGGGCCTCTGATGTTGATAGTTCTCTCTTGAACACTGTGAGGGGTCGGCCAGTTATGTCCCTTATGTGTAGTGGAAGCGTGTTGAACAGTCTCGGGCCTCTGATGTTGATAGTTCCCTCTTGAACACTGTGAGGGGTCGACCAGTTATGTCCCTTATGCGTAGTGGAAGCGTGTTGAACAGTCTCGGGCCTCTGATGTTGATAGTTCTCTCTTGAACACTGTGAGGGGTCGGCCAGTTATGTCCCTTATGTGTAGTGGAAGCGTGTTGAACAGTCTCGGGCCTCTGATGTTGATAGTTCTCTCTTGAACACTGTGAGGGGTCGGCCAGTTATGTCCCTTATGTGTAGTGGAAGCGTGTTTAACAGTCTCGGGCCTCTGATGTTGATAGTTCTCTCTTGAACACTGTGAGGGGTCGGCCAATTATGCCCCTTATGGGTAGTGGAAGCGTGTTGAACAGTCTCGG